CTTCCGCTTGGCTACATGTGTAGTGCATGACAAGGAAGGGGGTTTGTCTCTGTCAGTATTAGGTGCGCAGCAACTTGAGCTGGTCGTGAGATGCGGATGGTCTGGCTCGGTGACCTGTTTGATTGTGTGTCATCGTGTCATCTACTCCGACGGCGATCCGATAACTGCACGGTCTGTTCCAGACTCGATTATTTACAGGCCGCCATCATATAGCTGACATATTGCTGAGTGCGGCCTTCAACAACGAACGAACAAACACTACGTGTATGTACAATGGGTTCCAATGACTAACTACATCACATGCTATACGGGCTATCATAACATGCACGTGAAGCTCACAAGAAGTCCTGTCACGTTTTATCTGAACACAGTCGGCATTGGGCTTAGCGTGTCCGTATTTCCTGTATGAGGTAAATGACATATATGCGTAGCTGAAACATTATTTCATAATGGACACTACTCACCGTGCACACATTCAAACGTGAATGTTACATAGTCTTCACCAGCAGTGTGCTGCACTTTACCATAAGGTGAAGACAGCTGACATCTTGTAGCGGCCGTGCACGTGTTCACAAAGTCCAGGTAGTAGTGATCCGGGAGTTGGTTCTTCATGGCAGGGAGGCAGTAATCTGTCACGGTATCATTCTCACGCTGTTGACAGCAACGTCTGATTTCGTCTACTCCCTTCTGTCTTAAACTTGCTCCAGTTATTTCATTGTGACATGTGACGTCAGAGGACACCCCGAGTGTAAACATGGTAGGAAGAAGCATCTCTGTAGCGGCACACGGAGGATCCACTATCAACGGGAAGTTTTAACAGGCAGTCCTTTGTCTCAGGCCAGAGACAGTTGTACATAGAACTGTGAATGCAAAGTTGATTTAGACTGTAGTGCGAGTGAATTAAAACTTAACGTCACATTGACACAATTTTAGCCATTCAGCCAATGCAAACTTGGTACATTGATAGAATAATGAGCAGTTTCGTTGCAATTTCCGTAACTTGTACCATAGAATAATTCATTCACAGAATTGTTACATGCAATTCGCTATTGCTGACTGTAACATTCACTCACTTGTAATTGGCTATACATTGACACTCATTGCAACAGTGCCTGCTAAAACAAATTAACTTTGCAGTGAAAGGCCAAGGGTCATAATCTTGGGATTCAAGTCCCCGACCAACGGGTAAGGGACACAAGGGCAAAGTACGGTGTCACCCCTGCCCCGCTCCCTCACAGACAAAGAGTTAACAAGCATGATCTTTTTGTCAATAATGGTAGCGTTTGGCACCCTGTTTCTGAATGAGTGAGTGCATGTTTGTTGAACGCGGCCATCTGAAATATTCCAGCTTTGCCTGGCGGCCTGTAAATAATCGAGTGGCTGAGATTATAAGCTACATCTCGAGTTACGATGACACACAAACAACCAAACCACCAATCCTCACCACCGTTACATCTCCGTCGCCTCTTACAGCATGCAGTGAGTCTCAGGGACCTATTCTGACCCAGGTCCCCACAAGGCGTGTACATTATGAGTGCTATGTAAAAATAAAATGTTTTAGAGAGTTTATTTAGTATATGCAAGGGATATAAATAAAATTAGTCCACTATCGAAATTAGGAATTTCAAATAACTCTCTGATATCCATTTCCAATTGGATATCTATTATGGTATTCCCATTTTTAAAAATCTCAATAACACTGGTGTGAAACTCACCACGTCTTTCGCGGGTTTTATTTGTTTATGGCATCTTGCGAACGAAAATTGTATAGTTTGAAGCAAATAGGGAATTATGCTAATAAATGCATCGCATATATCTCTCAATAATCATGTCAGTACAGCTCTGGATCATTGTTGTGGTTTATCAGGGGCCCTTCCTTTGGGCCCAAACCATAGCCAAGAGCTTTGCCCGGTGACCCTAGCTCCCGTCAGATCAACGTGTCTGTCAGGCATGCAGAAATAATGGTCGATTTCTATCAGAAAACAATGTCCCGAGTAGGCTCTTGCAGTTGTTAGCCATTTGGGAGTGCCATGCTACCTGTACATATAATTTATACCACAACATAACCGAAGTTTTCTCGTGAACAATTATCTGTCTTACTACAAAAATTATCAAAATATATCATTCTCACATACTACCATGTTTGACAAATGTAAAGTGTCTACTTGCCCTGTTTGGCTTATGGGCCATATATCTTACAACTTTACAGAAGGCTGCTTACAAACATCATCATATTTACCAGTTCTGAAAATCTCGCACAGGAAACTACCATCAACATTTACAACAGCTCCAGATATTTGAGAAGTGTTTCCTTCTGCCTGCCCAGATCTCTGATTATTATACAGGTAAATGTCATCCATAAAGAAGGTAGAAGATGCATTTTGCAAACTATGTTATTCACCCTCTTCTGCATTGTAACATTGTATCTTCAAATGCCAACCATCTCCTACCAAAGACCACTTCATATCCCAGAAACTGGGCAAACCTTTATATATTTATTCTGTTGTGAAGCTCTTCCTATGTTTAATATCCAGTGTTATATCTACAAGTTCAATCTACATTTAGCTATACATGAGGCTGTCATCTTATAGAGGATAAATGTGACAAATGTACCATTGTGATAAACTACATCAACCAATCATCTCAACATTTAGAGCACTGAATTTGTACACAATAGATTCCATGATTCCTTCATAAACGAGATCACGAGATACCTTGAAGTATAATCAATGTCAGCAGTAAAAGATATCCCCGCCACTTCCTCCACATGTTGGTATGGTATAGGGCTGGAGAAACACCCATTCAGATGCTCGGTACCAGGGTCTATACGATAATAGAAACATTGACTTTGATAACACCGCGAAAAAATAACCATAAATATCGAGAGTGACATATATAATATCTCTGTTCTGAAGAATACACAAGTATATGGAGTTTAATAATTATAGTCTAAACTTTGTTCCAGTGTTAAGCTTTTCAATAACACCTGGGATTATTTAATCCAAATTTAAAAGCATATATAGGATTTCACAATCTATTATATGGCACGTGCGGGTCTAGATTACAGGTGAACACTCGGAAAAGTCAAATGAGTCAAATGGTAATAAATACACAAAACTATTTTCCTGTACAAACCAAAGATGCAAGAGAACAACCAGTCTAAAATACCCGCCGAAACAGATTCCATTTGGAGTAAAGAGCAAAATAGCTGTGAACTATATAGATGGACCCCTAAAAATCAGTCATTACACCATATCGCAAAACATAACGTTAAAAACATAAAACAAACACGTTCACTGAAGCCCTGTGCTTCTTAGGTACAGTCCGTTTGCTGCAAAATCGTACCGATGAATTGCAAAATATACTCAACAACAAAAGTTCCTGTGACACCAATATTTTAGTGTATTTTTCAAACAAGTAAAGTTTGGTTTTCAATATTGTAGTACATAAGAAGGATAAGAATTTATGGATGAACAACTTCTCTATTACAATTTAGAGCGCCGTTTCGGTGTAGGTTCTAACACCGTTATCTGTAAACTATTCTCAAAGCAATGTTAGTGATGTTCTTGGTATTGCTATTCACTTATAAGCTCTTATTCCTGTCCCAACATTGTCAATGCACCCTTTCCGACTTGCAATAATCATAAACGTGAACTACCAAGGTTTTCAAATCACCTGTGAATTTCACAGTGTATTGTAATGATATATTGAGCTCGTTCTGTTGATTTTATTTTTTGTATTGGGAATCAGCTGAATTGTAATACCAAGAACATCACTAACATTGCTTTGAGAATAGTTTACAGATTCTCATTGTATATTCCGTTTAATAATTACTACATAAAGATACGCTTCTGATAAAGACTTATTTTATTATAGAAAAGACTAAAGTAGGTTATCGTGACACGCGCGAATTTTACGTGCGAATGTAAGGCTGTTCAGGTTACAGTGCAGACCCCCTTGTAACAACAGGCATTAAAACACCAACAATTACATGAGAGTTTGTTAAACAACCTTTGATACCCTTCATGGCAATGTCTGAAATTATGGTGACTGGTTGGTGTGGACAAATAAATAACTTTCATGCCATTTAAGGCGAAGTGTTGCTGTCGGATTTATATCTGGTTTGCATTTCATCGGTACTGTTTTGCAGGAAACGGACTGTAAGTATGTATCTGATGTTATTCGCAAGGAATCCGATAGATGGAAGCCAGCTTATCCGGGGAGTTCTGAGCCTCACACAGAAAGACTTGACCTACTGATAATAAAAAGTATTCTTCAACAGAATCCTCTTCGGGAATGGATACACTTTTGCCAACGATGTTAAAAGTGCTTCTCTTGGTTGTCTAAAGAGTTCTCCGCCGCTGCTATGACGTCATCATTCGAGTCGAATAGGGTTCCAGCGCGAGAGTCTGGAATATTTTGCAACAGATGGAAGGCTGACGGAGCCAGATCATGAGAATGATGTTCGTGCTGAAAGAATCCAAAGACACATCCGTGGTTATGGAAATAACCGTTTCTCCACAAGCATGATCAGATGCCAGAAGCTTTGGAACCCAACGAATTAATTCATTTTACATTGCAAAAACTTCTATGATAACGAGTTATGTTCGAGTTTGTCCATTTTTTATAGGTCACAGGACCCTCCTCATTTTACCGACTAGTCACAGCAAACTATCAGGGTAAATTGTGAATATACCGCTATGGTATCATGCAAAGTACATTCCTTCTTTGTGAGGCTCAGAACTTATCAATCAAACCTTATAAGTTAAGTTTCTGATGTTATCCGCCAGGAATTCAGCAAATAGAAACCACCCTTTTGGGACCTGTACATGAAACCCTGTGAAGGTGTATCTGAGGGTTAACATGGACCGAAGACGGCTGCAAATACATGTCGATGTCCGACGTACCTCACTGCCGACCCCCTGCATCACTTGGTAGTTCATGTGGTACGTTGTAATCATTGTTTTGCAGTGTCATCTTAATGTAACAACCTGTCTTACCTCTGATTGTATTGCCTGATGATCCAACTACATCCAACTTCATATCAAATAGCTGACACACAAACAAATCCATGCAAGGGACGTGATGACTTCCTTGTAATAAGCGCAGACGCATAGTTACACAGGTATGTGTTATCTTATCAGCAGTTTTAAACTGTGTCATGTGTAATACTCGTCAACGGCTGTATCATGAATGTGTTGGGAGTGCGGGTGGCAGAGTTGCCTCGCTTTCATGTGGGTGCTGAATAACAATGTAAATTTAATATCAACTGCCAATATTTGTCTATTCAAAACACTAATACACATGTTTTAATAATCATAAAAAAGGAATTGCTACACTCGTGTCCTTCAATCTTCATCAGCACATTTAAATTTAATTTTGTTGAATATTCCAGATATTTGAAATTAAGGAAACACACTCGAGTACTACAGGCATGTACATGTGTTACGTATATTCACCAACCACATGTGATCATGCATTATACATGTCACCTATATAGGAGTTATTAAAATAGGAGTTATTACGAGTAACATTTCCAATAGTTGAATTCAAAGTTAATAACACTACGAAATCCCTAGCACCATTCATTCTGTGTATCCTCAGAAGTGTGGAAGAAGGAGAAAGTGTCGAATACTCAACATGGAATCATTCAGGAACACCTGTGTGAATCCTTCATCTTACCTGTGTCAATCATTCACCTTACCTGTGTCAATCCTTCCCCTTACCTGTGTCAGTCCTTCACCTTACCTGTGTCAGTCCTTCACCTTACCTGTGTCAGTCCTTCCCCTTACCTGTGTCAATCCTTCACCTTACCTGCGTCAGTCCTTCACCCTACCTGTGTCAGTCCTTCACCTTACCTGTGTCAATCCTTCATCTTACCTGTGTCAATCCTTCACCTTACCTGTGGCAATCCTTCACCTTACCTGTGGCAATCCTTCACCTTACCTGTGGCAATCCTTCACCTTACTTGTGTCAATCCTTCACCTTACCTGTGGCAATCCTTCACCTTACCTGTGTCAATCCTTCACCTTACCTGTGTCAATCCTGCACCTTACCTGTGTCAGTCCTTCACCTTACCTGTGTCAGTCCTTCACCTTACCTGTGTCAATCCTGCACCTTACCTGTGTCAATCCTTCACCTTAACTGTGTCAGTCCTTCAACTTACCTGTGTCAGTCCTGCGCCTTACCTGTGTCTATAACATCATGTATATTTGTATGCCCTGTGAAGCAAAGGGGTTTTGGTCTTCTACTGAATATGCCATTGTACCTAGGATACATCTATGTGTGTGTGTGTGTGTGTGTGTTTGTGTGTGTGTGTTTGTGTGTGTGTTTTTGTGTGTGTGTGTGTTGTGTGTGTGTGTGTGTGTGTGTGTGTGTGTGTGTGTGTGTGTGTGTGTGTGTGTGTGTGTGTGTGTGTGTGTGTGTGTGTGCGTGTGCGTGTGCGCGCGAATAAATATATACCTCTTTAACTGTTTATATACACGAATATTACAGTCGTTGTTACCTTCATCAAGATGAACTGCTTCTCTGTGGTAAACAGTTGAAATATTATTATGAGTTATGAGTTTCTCGTCAGACAGGGAGGAGTTGTACTCAACATAGAAGTGTATTTGTCTGTAGAACGAGGTCACTAAGTGAAACATCATATATGTATGTGTATATACACTCTTCACAAAAAGAAACGCAAAGGTAGTATGTGGTTCATTTAACCTGACTACATTAAAAAATCTGCATTTAAATTGGGTATATGTTATTTGAAAATATTGGTGGCCTGATATTCGACGAACGATGTGTCAAAACGCAGCCATTGTCGATTTGCAATGTCTCAAACGGCATTGTTTTCACACTTGTTAAAAAATGTCATGGAGGAAAACAGTAAAGCAAAATGCACGTGCAAGTTATGGCATTCGTAACTCGTGGTAGTGGCTGTAGAAAGGCAGGCATAAGCCAATAATTTGTCATTCAATTGTAAACATTTTTCAAGTTCGAAATTGCCAAGACCCAGCGCTGCCGATCGGAACATCGCAATAGGACGTATCCAAAGAGGGGAATCGCAGTCATCTGTTGCGCGCCACTTCAACGTCCACCACTGCAACATTTGCACCATTTGGGACTGATACACACAGTTAAATTCCACTGCAGACAGTCCGAGAACCGGCCGACCCCTGCACAGGATCGCTACATTCGACTGTTCTACCTACGTCATCACAATGCCACAGCTACGAAGACTGCAGGACGCATCCCTGATTTGAGGAGGATATCGGAGAAGAGTGTCAGGAACCATCTTCGCGAGGCTGGAGACCGACCCAGATGACCAGATAGCGTCCCTGTTTTGCAACAGATCCATCGACAGCGACGCTTGCGTTGGTGTCATACCTTACAGCCTTGGAATTCGAGAAACTGGAGACGAGTGTGGTTTAGCGATGAATAATGATTTCTTCTTCATCGGTGAGATGGAAGACAACATGTTTATCGTCGTCGAAATGAGCCGTTTTGCTCCACATTGTGTACGTGAATTAGACAAGTTCGATGGCGGTAGTATCATCCTACACTTGGAGATCTGACTTGGTTGTGGTTCAAGGACATTTGACAGCAAATCGATACATGAATCAAATTCTTCATCCTCACCTTCTTCCAATCATTGACCGCCACAGGGAGCTGTTTCAACAGGACAATGCTCTACCGCACACAGCTCGTGACACTGTAGACTACCTGCATAATGCCAACATCAACGACTTGCCCTGGCCTTCGAGATCACCAGATTTCAACCTTATCGAACACCTCTGGGATGAACTCGATCGACGTCTACGTCTACGTCAGAACACGCCACGACACTCCCACAACTGGCCAACGCGCTAAAAGCAGAATGGCGCAGAATTCTGAAAGACAGAATTCGTACACTTATCAAGTCAGTGCCGATGAGATGCAGAGCCGTGATTGCTGCCCGGGGCAGTCACACGAGATACTGAGTTCAGCTCAACCTTGTGGCCTTACGTGACATGACAATGAACAGTTTTCAATGCATTTCAACAACGACAACATGTGACTAGCAAGCTCACAAATTTTATATTTGTATCTATGCTATTAAATTTATCTACTTTATTAGGTACAATAAGTTTACTAAATATCTACCTTTGCGGGTACATACGTACATACGTACAAGAAAGTAAATACATATTGAGTATAAGTAACATCAATGAGAGGACACTTTATGATAAGAATTTATATCAACGTACTGTACATAAAAGATGATTTCACAAATTATATAAATGAATATGTTTATTAACTGATCATGTTTAGTCTCATTTACATGTAATACATAAGAACACATTTCAATTTTGAATTTAATAATCCATGCATTGATTAAGTACAGCAGTATGATGATAATACATAGAATTTAGCTTCTAGAAAGAGAACAAATAATAAGCTATTGTGTACGACCTTAGATCAAAAGTGGTATGGTATGCAGATGTATAGATTACCAGACACACAATTGTATTTTAGGGACATATGATCGCTTGATAGGAAACTGTTACCAATATGATTGTCCAAGATTCTCAGTATACAATTCACTGTAAGGACCAAAAACGTGATCCTTCAAAGAAGGACGACAAAATCTGGGTTGGTTATCCTTGCTGTTCAATTAACAACATTCGCCATTCCGGGTCTTGTCACGAAGTGGTCCTTGGCGTCCTCCCGTCTAGATAGGGCGGTGCAATTTTGTTTAAAGTAAATGCAAGTGATATCAGAGTGGAATCTGATTGGTCAGAAGGAGGGACGTAGAAGGGACATAACTCGTAATAGCCACTGGTTGCGCTACGACCGAACCCAGAAATTCCAGCAAGGGTGGAAACTGGGCTGTTACATTCAGTTAACTCTCTTGCCTCGGGAAGATGTCCTAGTATTAACACATGAGTTTCCCTGCTTTGCGCAATAATCAAATCTCATGCAAATGACATAAACGTTTTGAAATCGTTGCATCTTATTCTTATATTAGTGCTATTCAACATTTGCTAAATAAAAGAAACAAATTCCATTTGACTTGTCATAACAAATCTCTATTCGCTCGCTATTTTTTATGTAAAACTTTCAGAAAATGAATAAATAATCTATATCCAGCAATATAAGATGTGGCAGAACGATTTTCGTAATTTAATAATTGTAAACACCGAATGAGTGTCTGCTGACTGTGATGAAAATAGAGTAAGATCTGAAAGTTGCATTTAAGTCTCTACCTTGAACGTTGAACCATAATTTCGCCAAAGAAATCGCTGAAAGGTTGTTGTATTCGTTCGTGTTTTAAAGTCAGTGCGTGATGTCCGTACAAAAGATAGACATATGGCTGGGTCCAGCAAATGTACCACCAAATCCCTGCCTCAAAGACTGACCATAATCCTTAATACAAACAAGGAAGGACTTAATTTATATTCACAGAAAGTATTTGAGACAAGTGGAATTTATACCATGTGGTTTCTCCAAAACTCAAAGGGTTTGCTTGACGTTCTGCAATCTCAGAAAAGAACCAAGTTCCATTCTGTCAAAACATTTGATTTTTCAACTTTGTATACCACTATCTAACATGTCACAATTAAGGGAAAACATCATTCCTTAATCCATGGGGCTTTTGTTACAAAATGTGGTGAACACAGATACAGTTACGTAACAATATTCAGAGGTTCAGGACACTTTATGAAAAATGAAAGCAAATGCCATCTGATGTTTACTGAGAAAACAATATGTGAAATGCTGGACGTCCTCATTGATAACATCTATATAACATTTGGGGGTAAGACATTTAGGCAAGAAGTAGGCATGCCCATGGGCACCAGTTGTGCTCCCCTTCTTGCGGATCTGTTTCTTTATGCATATTTAAGTGTAACTTAAGCTTCAGGTATATCGATGATCTCATATTGTTCAATAACACTCAGATAGCCAATTCCCTTCTACTGATTTAACCACCTGAACTAGAAAAAAGGAGACCAGTGAGACCGCCTCATTAGTTTCATGTTTAGATCTATGCATAAAGATTCAGAGTGACAAAACACTCTCCACAAGACTGTATGACAAGAGTGATGAGTTCAACTTTCCAATAGTCAACATTCCCTTCATGTCGAGCAATATTCCAGCTGCTCCAGCCTTTGGTGTTTACGTTTCACAATCGAGCATGCTCTTTCAACCCAAGATTTCAAAGAGCGTCATACGACTCTTGCTCAGAAGTTGTTTGATTAAGGTTACAACATTCAAGGCCTCAGTAAAGCTTTCAAAATGATTTATGGTAGACATTTGGAGGACATTTCCAAATTTGATGCATCAGTCACAAACATGATGTCTAATGCAATTCCCTATTTTGACTTGTACCATATGATCCGATGCTTTTTTCAGGTGAACAATTAACATGGAAGTGAAAAACACCCAGAATTACACCCGCACTTTGGTTATGTACGAACAGCATAGTTAATGGAATTAATATGAACATAGTGATATCCAGCTCACAAATAGCAAATTTTGGGAAAATGCGCAAACATGTTCCACTAAAAAATCAATAAACACAAGCAATAGACAACTATATACACTAATAAGTAAACATTTGTTAATGCAGAATGAACAACACACGTGGACAAAAAAGGATAAATACGCGCTTGAGCTAAAATCTATAAGACGTTTTACAAGTGCGAACATATTTTGAGAACACATCTTTGATAGCAATTAAATGATAGATGCGAAAGAATTACCTAAGTTGATTGTAATGATGTTTTCAGCATAATAGCATCGCATATGTGTAGATCCAGTGTCAACATACAGTAAAGTACGGTTATAACCAACTCAAAGGGACTACTAATTTTAAATCGTTATAACCGTAGTTCGTTTAAGCATATATACAGCACAACTACAGCAAATGTTCGTTATATCCGTCAGTTCGTTATAAGCGTGTTGCTATAACCGTAGTTTACTTATTTTTGTTATTCAAAGTCATGTGTAATTTAAAATAGCATCATTATACGCCCATGTGTAGATGCACATGACACAGGGTTTCCTAGAAGAAACTAACACTTCACGTTTCTTCCAGCATAGTTTACAGCTAAATGCATTCACATAATGATGTCCTAAAACAGATGACCTTCGAGTCACTTCTGAACCTTTGCGTACATGGCAGCAATGTCCTCATCCTGCCCTGGGTTATCTCCATCAGAGTACTGCCCGGAGGTTCCACGAAAAGGCTTCCTGGGTTTGTCTACTTTAGAGTACACATCCGTCACCTGATCAGTGCCCTGTGCTTTGTTCACCTTGAAATAGAGATCTGAAACTCTACCATCGCTCTTCTCTTCTGAATTTCCCCCAATTGGCTCTGTATTAAAAACTGTGTGGTTATAATAGTCATGGTGTCCTTGCGTCACCGAGGAGGTTTTGCCCAGACTGAGGCCTGAACGTTCTGGTCGTGGCCACAAGGTGACTCCATGTCGGGTTTATAGCCTTCGTTAATGTCATCTTCCTGTGCAATTGCTCCAGCTTGTAGTCATCAGTTCCTTAATAGATTGGGTTAGGCACGTATCCATCACTTACAGAGTCCCGGGCACCGTCTGACTCGTTCCCATCCTAGTGGTCTTCTTCCATGTGTAAACGTGTTGGATTTGTTTTCTCTGAATTGTTTCTAGAAAATATAAATTCAGTAGGTATAATGATGGCTTTATATGTGCAATACATATATTGCTTCGCTTGTTGTATAAGCACGTGTGCATTGGCATAATTTTGGAATACTTCTTCTTGGAACCGATTGATATATTATTTAACTTCATACCGAGCAATAAAGCAGTATTGCACCATCATCGTATTCAGGCACAAGGAAGACCAATGATAGAGTGTTCATTGCCTCAAGGACAGTTGTATGCAATATGTCGAAAATGAGAAGCACAGCTAAGACACGTTCGATATCAACGTAGTATATCAAGTCTGTGAATGGCATCAAAGTGATAAACATGAGAAAGAGCATTTTTTAATGTCAACTGCTTTATAATGAAGAACACAACATTTAGGAGTATATACTTCCTCCTTCATCAGGTGGAAGGATGAAGTAAATTCATATCACCTGATGAAGGAGTAAGCATATACTCCGAAATGTTGTGTTCCTCATAATACCGAAGTTGACACCCACAAACTCTCGTCCTGAACTTATTTTATATCAAGTTTTTAACGGAAGTATAGGAAATTAGAAGAGTTTTCACTCATATGCATAATCTCAGTAACCATGGATGATAATTTTATCAACGATAGATGAAAGACCAATTACAAACATACTCTTGAATTGCGATGTATATCTAAGAACACAACGATTCATGCATGACTAATTCCATGTAGAGTGAATGTTCTTTCAGAGAATGTGTGGATATGTTATCCCCCGATATGGTAATACTAATTGTAAAAGCTTTTACCTTTTCTTTCTTTAGACACAGACCGTGAGTGTCACTATGATTGCTATCATGATGACTCCTCCCACACTGCTGCCGATGATAACTGCCTCTGTAAACATATGTAGTAGTATTAGATACATACAGTTTTACATTAGAATGTGTGTCGTTGTGGGTCACGAGTCAAACTTTTTGTGATCCTTTTTCATCCACCTTGCAATTAGCTGTAGTGACATTTTATTTATCTAATATCATTCTCAAGTACCTATACACTGTTGATTAGATGTGAGGTGAGTTACACGTCGCGTCCAAGATTATTGCACTTATATAGCGACGTACATGCACGTGTGTGTGTGTGTGTGTGTGTGTGTGTGTGTGTGTGTGTGTGTGTGTGTGTGTGTGTGTGTGTGTGTGTGTGTGTGTGTGTGTGTGTGTGTGTGTGTGTGTGTGCATGTGTGTGTGTGTGTGTGTGTGTGTGTGTGTGTGTGTGTGTGTGTGTGTGTGTGGCTGCTTGTACTAGCCCGGACTGATGCCGATTTATAGTGCTAACACACTGAGATACCATGCCGCAGTTTAACATGAATTCCCCACTCAGACACGGTAAACTGACTCCGAGCCGACCAGTCCTTGTTTTCGCCCTTTAATGTCGACAGGGTAACAACAAGTATATTCTTTTAACGCGGCCGGGGATCGAACTCCAAACCTCCCGCTCTCCGGGCGGACGCTCTACCACTAGACGACGGAGGCGGTCGTTGATTAGATGACCATGTTGACGTTTATGATCATCTTGTAAGAAAGCCGCAATACCAAGCACAAGTACAATGTAAATATCAAAGGTTAAGATGCAGTGATTTAAATTCACACAAATATCATAGATCTATTCATGATTCTACTACCTGCTCCTGTGGATACCATTATGAACATCCTAGACATGACCTCTTTTCATGTTGCAACTACTGCAATCTTCGGAACAATATGTACTATTATATAAAAGGATACGACTTGGATTCAGTCTAATATAGAAATACTTCAAAATCTTCTGGTACTATTGCTATTGTACAATCTGTTCATTTGTGCATTGCAAAATCTAAAAGATTTAAAATGTGTCTACTTTACGATTACATCAATCAAATAGCTGTTTGTATGTGAGGTATGCTGGTATGTAGAGGTATCGGTGTACAAGCATGTGTGTACATGGATTAACCGGTTTGGTCATGTATCGATATAGGTTTGTGTCTATGTGTGTATTTGTGTATTTTCGTATTTATGTATTTGTGTGTGACTTGTATATTCGCATCATAATATTTGTAACAGTAGGTACAAATAATCTAAATTTATTATTCTATGTACGGTTTACCCTGTTAAATGTCCTTTATAGGGAGAAGTATTTAAAAAGGCTTTGTCTGTTCACCAATCCCATTCCGTTTTTGGAAATAGATATTGTAAAAATCACATTTCGAAAGCGAAGTCCGGATATCTGCCATGTTTTTCCTGAACCTTCACAATCACATCAGTGTCAAAAGGGACAGAAAATTTAATAATATAAATGATTTCCTTGGATTCATAAAAAAAGACAAGATCAGCTCTGTTGGCCTGGATACGTCTAAGGCTGTATACATGCCTATGCCAAAGAATTTTTGTATTTATTATTTTCCATAACGCCCTCTACATATTTTTGGTCGTACCATGGATGGACTTCTGTGTTAAAACCACAAGCATGACGAAGACAAAAGAATCAAGCCAGCCATCATGTCACTTAAGACACTGTGCTTGTGCCAAAGCTAGGCATGTACTACACAATCTACATTTCATAGCCACATTTTGATGCAAAATGGGAAGTGACTGGTCCTGAGCAGCAGACAGAAAGCCACATACACACACACACACACACACACACACACACACACACACACACACACACACACACACACACACACACACACACACACACACACACACACACACACACACACACACACACATATATATACATTCGTGTACAGCTGACAACCAAACAGTCGTAACCATGTGCACGTGGGGGAGGGACGCTAAAACTTGACGGGCGAATATATGTTTGAATGTATTATATACACCTCGTCATAAACATCGCACCACCCACTTTTTTTCACTGAGTAAAACTGGATCTTCAACCTCATAAAAATCGTGCTAAGAAATACACATTAAACTGTTTATATGGCCTCATGTGAGCGTTCAGTCAGAAAATTGACAACACAAAACCGAATTTGAGCACTAATTGAGGGTTTGATTGTAGCAAACTAAAGTTCACTAAAATCACCGTGAAATAAGTATGGCTGCCGGAGTCGTTACAACAGACACACAACACAGTTCACATTTCATTAATGTCGAACACACTAGTAAGGTCCACAATGACTGGCTAAGTCAGTATCTGCTGTAACCGCCTCGCACTTGGATAACATGTTCTACACGCCGTCATATGCTGGTCACCAGACGTCTGAATCTCTGTTGGGGGATCTGCTGCCACTCATCAAGCAATGCATGGGTCATTTCCTGAAGGTTATGAACTGGAGGATCCCTTGCTCTCACCCTACGTCCCAAAATGTCCAACAAATGCTCAATAGGATTAATGTCTGGACTTCTGGCAGGCCAGGGTAGTGTCTCAATGGCGTTGTGTTGGAGATGCTGCAAACAGCTCGAGCACGATGTGGTCTGGCATTATCGTCCATAAAGACTGGACGTGTGGCGAGAGCATGATTATCGAAATGAGGCACAACAGCACCGTCCAGGATCAAGTTCTGGTACCTCTACCCATTCAGTGTTCCGGGAACTGTGATGAGGTCAAGTTAACAATCATAGGAACACCCCCACACCATGACGGATCCACCCCCAAATGGAACATCAGCTTGAATGTTCCTCTGATCATATGCTGTGTCTCTCTGCCTCCAAACTCGTGCTCTACCGTCTGTATGATGCAGCAAAAATCTGCTTTCATCGGACCAGTGGATCCTTCTCCATGTCCTCAGGTTCCAGCGAGCATGTGCATGGCGGTGCTGATTTGTGATGAGTGGACGTCTGATTGGTCGTCTTGCTCTCAATCCTGCAGAATTAAGGCGTCGTCTGATGGTGCTGATGGACACTCTGTTGTATAGATGCCATCAATGTCGCAGCTGTGTACAAGTAGACTTTGGGCTTCGTCTGGCTTGGCGTACGAGAGCACGATCTTCCCTGTCATTGTTTTTTTCTGGGACGTCCAGACCTCGGTTCATCCTTCACTTCACCGGAAGCAGTATTCTTACGTATTAGCCTGCTGATGACAGTGTGATGAATGTTCAGTTGTGCTCCAATAGCACGACATGACAAACCAGTCTGGTGCATACCAATAATTTGCCATCTTTGGTTCAGAGGCACTGGACGCTTGGGCACTTCACTAGTTGGTCAAAATAAAGCTTAATTAATGCCTAAAACCAAATTTTAGCTGTGTCTGCCAACATAACATACGCCAAATGAGGCTATGTGCATACTGCATTTTTAGCAAACCCACCCCCGGTACAAGCATGCTCAACGCAAGCATGCACGTGCAGCTCGGAACAGGGTGTGTTTGTGATATGATGTTCACAGATGGTGTAGTGTATGAAATATGTACTTGTAGTTTAAAAAAACGAAAATTATCTGTCTACTTTTACTTTAAAATGCGTGGTGCGATATTTAGGACGAGGTGTATACATAAATAAAAGCGACAAAACCATTTCCTTTATCCTAACAAATATGTGCCTAAAATAGCGTCCATTGTACGATTCCGACTTTATCAGAATCATGTGTTTATGAATCACTTAAAGAAAGTGATGATACCGGTTGTAAGCGAAAAGCTAAAAAAAAAAGCGTTTCTAAGTTTATTTAGTACGTGTACCTGACGTCGTTTCTGTGACTCCACTCTGCTGCGCGAGTGTTGTGGGAGAATTTGGATTCGATTGGCGGGGAGTGATGACGGAGGAAAAGTCGTTCACACTGGACAACGATAGCGTGGTAGAGTCAGTGTTGTGCATCGTTGTCCCTGCTGCCATTGACTTTGAAGGTTGTGCTTGTGGCTTACCAGGTGATGATGTCACTGCTACCTGTGCGTGGTTGCTGGGGGCTTTATTGGACGTCACTGTTTGTGTAGTAGTTGTGACAGTGGTAGCAGCAGTAGTTGTAGTTGAAGTAGTTGATGCCGTACTAGTTGATGCAGACGTTGGGCAGTTTAGTGACACATCTGCAGGAATGTTGGCTCCACAGACGACGGTAACATTCTTACCTGTATCCGCTACAAATAAATGATTATTGAACATCACACATACCCATGCAAATACGCACCAGTTCATGAAATAAATGAGACAGACAGTGTTTACACTAACACCCGTAGAATCGCCACCAGCATCAGTTTATGTACTTTCATTGATTTCAAATTATGTACTCGGCTTTCACGCCATATATTATTTTGTTAAACACTACATGCTTGGTAGAATATTACTGATGTGGTAGGTTAAAATGAAAGAGGTTATTGGTAATGACGATTGGTTGGTTTGTTGTTTAACGCCGCACGCAGCAATATTCCAGCTATATGACGGCGGTCTGTAAATAATCGAGTCTGGACCAGACAATCCAGTGATTAATATCATGAGCATCGATCCTCGCAATGTGGGATCGACGACATGCATCAACCAAGTCAGCGAGCCTGACCACCCGATCCCGTTAGTCGCCTTTTACGACAAATATAGTCGCCTTTTACGGCAAGCATGGGTTGCTGAAGATCTATTCTACCCCGGACCTTCACGGGTCTGGTAATGACGACAATTGAATAATATATGTGCATGTGCATTCACCATGTTCACTTGTTTGTGTTCACTTGTTTGTGTGTTCTACCATGACAACTATATATCGTCTCAACGCTCGACCATCATTATGTTGATCGAAACATCTCCCCAAATGATTTCACGGTAGATTATTTCATGCAAACACAAACTTGACCCAATTAACATTGTGTAATACCATGGATCCTAAGTTTTTGAACGTAAGGGGACGAAACGACACACGACAAAAAATTTGAAACACTGACATCAGTTTGTGTTGCTGTAACACTTCCAGCGCTGAGATGCTTCGACTTCCTGTTTCTACAAGATTATGACGTCATAATAGTGACACGTACTTTAGAACACCACATTGCAAGGATCGATTCATTGCTTTCGGGGGTGGTTAAATGATGTTTACAATGGATTTCCGCTAGGCTTCTTGTTGGTTCTATTATCCCTATAGGAAGGATTGAACTATGTTATTGAGAATTACACCTTGAATATATATGCGGCGACAAAACTGCGGTCCGTCATTGATCCATTGGAACATTAAGCCTACACAGTGAGTGAGTGAGTGAGTGAGTGAGTGAGTGAGTGAGTGATTTACCACTTCTAACAGTAATCAAGTTATATCGCGGCGTGTCAGCTTAATGTTGGAGGAACGAGCAAAGGTCCCAGACGTTTACCACTTCAGTAAAAACCCACGAGGAGGTGTATGGTGCTGACAAACCTAGAAACATCATCGGGGCGAACCGGGAATCGAACACACAATAATAGGTTTCTGGCGTGCCCAAGCGACACAAGTCTGCACAGAGAATCGCGGCGCCTCAGACGACTGTGCCACCCGTGCCCCCGTTTAGCCTACACAACACATTGGTATCAATACTGCTATCGCAAACATGTTCGCGTTCACTCTGTAGGATGGAGATGAACATACTGTGGAACACGAAATTTCGGTGGAAAACAAAGAAGCTTGACGTGTTTTGGCATGAAACATCCCCCTCTTTAGCTATGTAAAGGCACCAGGGAGTGAGAGGGAGATGCAGCAGTGAATAAATATGTAAAAAATCCTTTTCCAAAATGTCTTTGCACAAAGCATTTATTGAGAATAAATATTTTTGCAATGATAAAATTATCTGACTATTTATCCAAGGAGAAAAACCCAAGCATAATAACGGGCAGGTAACAGTGGGGGTAACAGCACTTAGTATCATTTTATTAATTATTTTACATTTTACACTAGTTTATGATTAATATGTTCAGTGTCAATGTGTTTGTTACGAGTAAAACCATGTTGACGATATGCCATGTACATACAGCAGCAGTTGCAAAGTAACGTTCACTCTGAGACCGAGTCACACGTTTCCACTGCATGCATTTGTTCGTGAAATACTGAATGCTCTGAGGGAGAGGTGTGGCGGTAGAAAAGGTAGCAATTTTTATGATTATTATACTGTTCTTCAACATAGGGTACTCGGAAACTCATGCTTAAGCAATTTGATTTGGGTGAAAGTTACAGGAAGGTTTTGCTCCTTTATACATGAATAAACATCAAACAACATATTCCAAAAGTCATTGTGTTTATCCTGAAGCCTAGTTTAACACACACGATATGATAACAATGTAACGATGTACGACGTCAGAGTCGACATCAGATTGCCATCAAAGAACTTCTTCCGCAAGACCTTCAGTCACATTTCCAGGTTTACCAACAAATCAGGGCAGATAAAATTATTAATCACTTACCTTTTGCCCGCAACCAAAGAAATTCTTTTTCTTGACGTCCAGGATCGACTGTCATGAATATTGACATGTTAACATAGTTGGACTTGCTCTCAAAAATTGCGCTGGAACAGTTTCTTGATGCAGGTGGGTTCTTACAGTCCACCCTGGTTGACACATCCCCATCAGTGAAGTCCACATTGCAGGCGGGTGACACAACTCGGGTTGCAGCAAGTTGTATAATGACATGGGAGTTACACTCATGAGAGTATGCCAGACAGTTAGCATGGGCCTCCCCGTCATGTTGGTCGTTGTACAGGTACACCTCCTGTCCTGTGTGTGTAGAATTACGTTGGATGTGCAGCACCGTGTCCTCTGAAAAGGATGGCCAAGTCATTAAAGTTATTCTTCTGACACGACGGTACATGAGAGTATGCTAGACAGTTACCGTGGGCCTGTACATATGTGTCGTTGTACAGGTACACCTCCTGTCCTGTGAGTGTAGAATCACGTTGGATGTGCAGCACCGTGTCCTCTGAAAAGGATGGCCAGAACTGACGTAGGTCAAAGACTTTTATCACATTTGTAGAGCACACGACCACTGGTATGATGCTGACAAAAAGACACATGAGTGAGTGAGTGAGTTGGGTTTAACGCCGCTGTTAATATTATTCCAGTTATGTCACTGCGTGTCAGCTTAAGGTGGGAGGAAAGCCCGAAGTGATGCAGACGTTTACCACTTCGGTGAAACCCACGAGCACAGGTATGGTGCTGACAACCTAGATACATGATCGGGGCAAACCGGGATTCGAACCCACAATCATAGGTTTCTTGCGTGCGCAAGGGACGCAACTCTGCACAGCGAATCTCGGCGCTTTAGATGAAGAAATCAGGACAATCCTACACAGTATGGGGTTCTAGTACGTCTTGTTGATGCAACTCTCCACTGTGGAGTGCCGCGTCTTAAACGACTTGGCAAACTGGGCCAGAGACTATGGGCGAGAAGCCCAAAGTCGTGCTGCATGTTACAGACATATACTCGCCAGTGGTGCTGACAAAACAAGGATCATTACAAGGACGAAATTGAATCAGAACCTCGGGAGATTTAGAGAGTCAAACCTCCATCTATTTCCAAATAACCGTTTGGATAACAACATAGGGATATACTCACGGTGCACACATTCAAACGTGAATGTTACATAGTCTGCACTACCAGTATTCTGCACCAGACTTCCAGGTGAAGACAGCTGACATCTTGTAGCCGCCGTGCACGTGTTCACAAAGTCCAGGTAGTAGTGATCCGGGAGTTGGTTCTTCTTAACAGGAAGGCAGTAATCTCTCAAGTTATCATTCTCACTCTGTTGACAGCAACGTCTGATTTCGTCTACTCCCTTCTGTCTTAAGCTTGTTCCGGTTATTTCACTGTGACATGTGACGTCAGAGGACACCCCGATAGTAAACATGGTAGGAAGAAGCATCTCTGTAGCGGCACACGGAGGATCGACCATCAACGGGAAGTTGTAACATGCAGTCTTGTGTCTCAGGCCAGAGACAGCTTGACACAGAACTGTGAATGTAAATTGATACTAGAGACTTGTTTAAATGGTATTTACGATAGTGGATCGTTAACTGCAATGAGATACAGCTGATATACCCCGTCAACTCACTCAATAAAAATTGTCATGCAAGAGAATAAGCCCTAGCCTTTTCAAGCAGAAAATGCACATACACTGACAATTTGGTAAAAAAAATAGTAAGTTAAGTTGGTCCCAGTAAATGAAAACACAAACCTGAGATATTAATATGACTTTTTTTCGTAACATGTACTGCAGCATGACTCATTTCAAAAACATTTACTTGCAATTCGATATTGCTGACTGTAACATTTGCTCACTTACCCAATACCAGCTGTACTTTGCACCAGTGCCTGTTCGTTTGCAGCCAAAGTAAATTAAATACGCAGTGGAAAGACCAAGGATCATAATCTTGGGATTCAAATCCCCGACCAGCGGTTCCTTACACAGTTAAGGACTCCACAGCGATGGGGCATGTCCCAGAACATTTGGATAGTGGAATGGCATCCGTACAGGATGTAGAAGATGCAGTTAGCAAAGTATGTTATTCACAAGCATTACATCTTCAAATACCACCAATTTCCACCAGAAACCATCTTCCAGAGGCAAGGGAGTTAACTGACTGAAAAAGACCAGTTTCCACCCTTGCCGAACTAGGCTGGAATTCCTGGACTCGATTGTAGCGCCACCAGTTGCCATTACGAGTTGTGTCTCTTCTAAGTCTCTCCTATAGTCCAATCTGATTCCACCTCTCGTATCACTTGCATTTGTTTGAAACACAATGGCGGCGCCCAGTCAAGATCTATATTGTGATAAAACGGGTCTTACATCGCGAAGTGCATCAAATCATGCGAGCACCTTTTTTTTAAACATGAAAAGATCTGGAAAATATGTGTTGACAACGAGTTGGCGGTGCACATGATTTGCAAATACTGCAATCGACCGAAATCTGCAGTTTACAAATCGGATTTCGATTTCGTTGTGCGATTTTGATTGGACTATGCATAGACTCATTAGTCTAGCCAACTGTAACTCCATAATACCAGCCTAGTTCGGCAAGGGTGGACACTAGACTTGTGGAGTCGGTTAACTCTCTTGCCTCGTGAAGATGACCAGAAACTCGAACTAAGCAAGCTGTTATAAATTTCAGTCGGTTGTTAAGCTCTACATATTTTCAATATCCAATGTTCAATCTACAATTTCAATTCAAAATTAGCTGTACATATTGCTGCCATCTTACAGAGGATGAATGAATCTGAATTTGATCAATGTAACAGTTTGATTAACTACTTTAACGAAAAGGCTAACTTTAGGTGGCGTTTGTATGAATTAATGTAACTGTCACAGTATAACACTGATGACATCGTAAACATATCATTCTTATAACACTGAATTGATGCTATCATTTCTCATAGAATAATCACAACATACCTTGCAGTGTTATCCATTTCAGCAGAAAGTGCGATGCTTGCCACTTCGTCCACATCCTGTTGTGGTTCAGGTCTGGAGAAACATTCGTTCAGGTGATCGGTATTGGGGACTATAGGATGGTTAAAATATTGACTTTGGTAACACGTTACTGATCACACGGTTCTGTGATACAAACATATAGAGTGAGATGTGATCACAACCCGTTACTTTTTAGTTGCATGATACAGTGAAACTGTTTTGTAAAATACACATGTATATAGGGTATAGCAATTACAGTGCTAACTTTGTTCAAGATTTACAGAGAGAGATTTTTAATAGCACTTTGGATTATGTTTCACCAAATTATGAAACATCTATATGAATGACATTTTTACGTCACGTGTGTGTACATAAATGTTCACTGACGCATAAGCGGGTGTATTTTAGGTCAAAAGTAAATAGCCGATACACAGCTGATGGAAACCACCCTTTTGGGGACCTGATGGGTGTATTTAATACATGAAATACTCTTAAGGTGTGTCTGTGGGTTAACGTTAACCGAAGACACCCAACATATGTCCACCGTAACTCACTACCGACTGCCGATTGATGAGTTCACATGACATGTTTCAATCATTTTTTTGCAGTGTCTGAATGTAACAACGTACCTACCTCTGAGTGTATTACCTGATGATCCACATATGTTCAACTTCACCATGAATGGCTGACACACAAACAATGTAATGCAATGAACGTCATTACTTCCTTGTTAAAAGCACAGACGCATTGTTGCACATGTAGCTGTTATCTTATCAGCAGCTTTAAACTGTCATGTGTAATAGTTAAGCTATCTTGTGGTGGGGCCCAGTTGTCTCAGTTTAAGGTGTGCCCAATACTAAAGTAAGTTTCATATTAACATAGATACTAATACATGTCTTAATAATCATAAAATAGATAATATTACATTCAAGACTTTCATTCTTCAACAGCACATTTTAATAGCATTTATACACTCTAGAGATTTAACATTACGGAAGTACATTCAAGTAATGTTTCACCATCAGGCTTGTATTAATGCCTTTTATGTGGACAGTGATTTTTTCCGAGTTTCATGTCATTGGAATACATGCTATTTGTTCTACATGTGCTGAGGGAATGCGGGACACAGGTAATTGATCGGAACTCCTCGACAATGAGAAGCACTTGGTAACATTCTCCTTTCTAGTGTTATCTTTTCACAGGGGTGTATAATGCTGCGGAACACACGGAGGTCCTGATAGTGTACAACAACCTTAATGGCGGATATGGAGCTTGCTTTTTATGAACAATCATGCTTAATTCACGTGCGAAATCAGATCATTATTTCACATATACAAAATTAATGAGGCATTAATGACATTGTGTAATGGTTGTGTAATTGTAAAAATATAGGACCAACAATTGGGGTGAGAAGGAAAGTGCCTTTTTAATGAATACTTCATTTCATAGATTATGCGTTCACTTCAGTCAAGACCCTTTGGGATTCTGCGTGAGAATAAACGTTCCCAGCAACCTATATTAAGAATATACTAAATGGATCGCGTGGTCAGGCTCAGCGACTAGTTCATGTAGCGGCGTAATTATACAAATAAACTTTAATTGATGTCAACCAATCATGTTTACTGCATGAGACTACAAATTCACGTTCAGTGCTAAGTCATATAAGTATCAATTTCAAATCTTATAAACTAATATTTCATCAAGATTTGTTTACTTGTTTACGGACCAGGGAGCAGGGATGACTGAGTCGTCTAAGCCACCATAAATCGCTGTGCAAGGTTGCGTCCCTTAGTTATGCCAGGAACCTATCGTCGTGGGTTCGAATCCCAGTTTTGCACTGATGTTCCTTGGTTTGCGAGTTTGTCAGCATCATACCCGTACTCGTGGGTTTCACAGGGTGGTAAACGCCAAAGACATGCATCCCTTCCAACATCAAGCTGACACGCCATAATACACTATAGCGCAAGTCTTCAACAATATTTCACAAAATATGTGTTTTGGCAGGTACCCGAGACTGATTATTATTTGAGCTCATGCTATTCATTACCAATACTTGGCGGTAGGTTTTCAACTGTATAACGCTTCACACTGACAGGACCTACATTTGAATTAGGTGGGTAAATCGAAGTATACGCATTATATGAAAACATTTGATATTCTTCAGTTCACAGTACCTCACTAAAATACAATCAGTGACGCAAGTTCGTATTATCTATGCAATATCTTAACGACGGGCACAGCCTGTGCACAGGCCACCTGTTGAGAACAATCAGTCCCGATTAACAACTAATTCAACTTTTCTCCTCCACTACCTACCATATATTTATGTATACATTTGTATTTGCATATCCTATTTTTTCATATCAGTGTTTGGTGCCACTAGCCAGTGTCCAAAACCCTGGTGTATCATGAAACGCTTTACCGTTCTAACAATTCAGGGGATAACCATCATCTAATACACAAGATATGATATCTAGACATATTTTATTTCGGTTCCATGCCATGTACTGTTTTATACTTGATTTTATTAGTCTATTACTTAGCCACATACAGGGCCGTTAAGCCGATATGATGAAAGTACATGTCACATGTAGCTCTTCCAGATCATTGTTTTCTGTGTGTAATATTCGTAATATCAAATAAGAGGTCAATTAATTAACAATATACGTGGACTTCAATCTCTTAACGAATTTATTAAACTTTTTGGGAGGGCACGAAATTGCAGCAGACACTGGTCTTGTAGAATGTTACTAATATACTTTGTTGGTTTTTGTAGCCAGTATCGGACATTCGATACCGATCCCGCATCAGACAACGCATCTGTACAACGACGAGAGTTATTTGTGCATCGTTTAGATAAATGTAAGGGGAAGGGGGGTGAGGCGAGGTGAAATTGGGGTTAACGTCGCGTCCAAGATTATTGCACTTATATAGCGACGTGCATGCACGGGTGTTTGTGTTTGTGTTTGTGTGGCTTCTTGTACTATTCCAGACTGATGCCGATTTATAGTGCTAGCACACTGAGATACCATGCCGCAGTTTAACATGAATACCCCACTCAGACACAGTATACTGACTCCGAGCTGACCAGTCCTTGTTTTAGCCCCTTAATGCCGAGCGCCAGACAGGGTAACAACAAGTACCATCTTTTAACGTCTTTTGGTATGACGCGGCCGAGTAAGGGGTAGGGAAGTGTGATGGTTGATCACGCGACCACGGACGGCAACGTCAGATGTTTAATATTGAAAATGACGGCACAAATTCATCTGTCATTAACTTTCTGTGGACTCCTTCCTAGTCCATTAGGAATTAACAAAACTGTGTCATCTACAAAAATATATACAAGCAAAGTATTTGCCCATAACAAATATTTAATTACTTCATGGCATTAGTCCCGTGTGTGAGGTGAGGTGAGGTGAAATTGGGTTTAACGTCGCGTCCAAGATTATTGCACTTATATAGCGACGTGCATGCACGTGTGTGTGTGTGGCTGCTTGTACTAGTCCGGACTGATGCCGATTTATAGTGCTAGCTCACTGAGATACCATGCCGCAGTTTAAAATGAATACCCCACTCAGACACAGTATACTGACTCCGAGCCGACCAGTCCTTGTTTTAGCCCCTTAATGTCGAGCGCCAGACAGGGTAACAACAAGAACCATCTTTTAACGTCTTTTGGTATGACGCGGCCGGGGATCGAACCCCGGACCTTCCGCTCTCCGGGCGGACGCTCTACCACAAGACCACGGAGGCGGCAAGTCCCGTGTGTATCAACATGGGCGTAACTGTTTACTCACGCTTGGTGTGACGGATAGAAGTTGATAGCGTGAGCAGGGATTATAGACTATAAATAGGCCGATTCTGTCATTAGACAAAACTTGCTCTTAACTTCTCTGAGAGGCATTTAGAAGTTGGAGTACTAAGTAAGGATACGATATATAGATGTACAACTTCTTTATTACAATTATGGTTGGTTTGTTGTTTAACGCCGCACTCAGCTTTATGACGGCGGTCTATAAATAATCGAGTCTGGACCAGACAATCCAGTGATTAATATCATGAGCATCGATCCACGCAATTGGGATTGATGACATGCATCAACCAAGTCAGCGAGCCTGACCACCCGATCCCGTTAGTCGCCTTTTACGACAAGCATAGTAACCTTTTACGGCAGGCCTGGGTTGCTGAAGAACTATTCTACCCCGGAATCTTCATGGGTTTATTACAATTAGGAGCGACGTTTCGATGTAGGTTCTAACACCGTTATCAAGCTAGTGATGATAACGAAGTTTTTTATCCATATATCTTGTCTCTACCTAACTTGCTCTTAGGTGAGTGACGTGTTCATCCAAGAGTAAATGGCCCTAATAACATTTTGAAATCCTGTGTCGACTCTTCGGGTTTCGTAACAATCTACGCTGACACTCAACAGCCTGGCGGTATATAGTTGTAGGTGTACGTCGTAATTGTGGGACAGGCCCAGCATCATACGGCTTGTTAGAGACGCTCAACCAACAATCCCCAAACACCATGACGATTGTATGCAGATATAGTGAAGACATACACGAAGAGTATAGGTTGAGTAAATTTATTTCTATTTCTCTAGTTTCAAAATGTCTACGCCAGAGAATAACCATTCTCGATTATCTACCTAAACAGATTCCATTGGGTGCAGAAGGCAAACTAGTGGTATATGAATGGATCAGTGTTGACATGAAGAAACGCCAGGCTGTCAAACAAGTCACCGTCTGAACCACCCGGTCCATTGAAGTAAGTGCCAGTGAGTAGGGAGGTGTGACAACTCTCTGTAAAGGCCGCAGTATGGGATAGCATCAAACACCCGGGTGGAGTGCCAGTGAGTAGGGAGGTGTGACAACTCTCTGTAAAGGCCGCAGTATGGGATAGCATCACACACCCTGGTGAAGTACCAGTGAGTAGGGAGGTGTGACAACTCTCTGTAAAGGCCGCAGTATGGGATAGCATCACACACCCTGGTGAAGTGCCAGTGAGTAGGGAGGTGTGACAACTCTCTGTAAAGGCCGCAGTATGGGATAGCATCACACACCCTGGTGAAGTGCCAGTGAGTAGGGAGGTGTGACAACTCTCTGTAAAGGCCGCAGTATGGGATAGCTTCGCTCACCATGCTGACAAGCAATGTGTTATATTTAATAAATTCTTCTGAATATCTACCATACAATTGACGGGGAAATTCAAGATGGGAAAAACCGAAATAATGCCCCTACAGCTTGGACCGACAATTTTGGATTTCTATGCACAGATCCAAAATCATGTACTAAAGTGTTTTTACATGCAGTTGGAGATGATATGTATTATGTAATTTAATTTAAAGAGAAATGAAATCAACACTGACGACATTGTAACGTATTTACATGAACGTTGGTAGCAAGTGTGTAGTCCACATTTGATGGGGGTTTGACAAAACGAAAGTAGCGTTATGTCCTCAATAAAATTCATTTACTACTGCAACTCTGTAAATTAATATCAGCTACTAAGCGATACAATCGTGATTCAGAAGTGTAAACACCAACCAAAAGGAACAGGAATGTTTTTTATCATTTTTTATTGATTGTGATATTCATAGGAGGTGTTAGCATATGTTGGCGCGCTGGTAGGTCGGACTGTACTGTATGTATGTTCTTCTTCCATAGTTGAGGTCGTGTTGTAAACATCTGCACCATTCTTCCTTGTCTTCCGTTGATAGAAACACCTGGGAAATAGAGGTTTCCACTATAGCTTTATATTCAACATCGTAAGCACAAGGCTGGCCAGGTACATAAACAAAATTAATCGTAATATACACTGAAAGGCAAAAGAAACGTCACTTCTGAAAATACTGATAAAACTTAACAGACACTGGCAGTTACATGTTCTGTGGTCAATAAACTCATTTAACGTTCTACTGCTTCTTTATTGTTAACATTAAGTAGAGACACACAATTGATCGTAATATATTTAAGTTGAAACGTGTGTAAGTTCTTGCTTATACACGGAATGAAACGTAATTTAATATATATTTATTTTGTTTTGGACATTTTCTGAGATACCAAATAAAGGAAATAAAAGGATTTACCTCGACATTATCCAACCTGAAACAAAGCCAACGATCAGAACAGCCACGGATACGCCCAGTGCTATGGGTAGTGTGTTGCATGGCTCACCTGTACAAGAAGATAAAGGACGCAATATCATTATCTTGCAATATGTTTGTTTTTTGTTTGACGCCGCATTCTGGACCACACAATCCAGTGATTGACATCATGAGCATCGATCCACTCAAATGGGATACAATGACATGTATCAAGCATTGGTTGCTGAAAACCTATTCTACACCAGATCTTCACGTGTCTTGCAATATATCACGGATAATAGGTCATTGTTGTTGTTTGTTTAAGTTGTTGGCTTCCTGGAGTTTGAATTGTGAGACTGCCAAACCAGTGACATGCTGACAGCCAGTCACCAGCTGATAACATTTAGTCGCCTCGTACAGCAACTAACGGGGTGTCGTGGACCTCTTCTAGCCTGGATTCCAACGGGGGATAAACACAAGTGGAAGTGGACGAACCCTTAAAACTTGACCTGCTGATATGCGTGTATGATACTCTATTAAGAGAGACAATTTCTGACTTTTTTTAGCAGGTGTAACTGACGTCTTTTTGCTTAAAGGGTGTTGTGGGAGGGTTTGGATTGGAATGGTGGGGCGTGATGATGGAGGAAAAGACGTTCACACAGGACAACGATAGTGTGGTTGAGTCATTGCTGTATAGCGTTGTCCTTCTTGACGTTAATATTGAAGGTTGTGCTTATGGCTCACCAGCTGATGATGTTACCGCTACTGGTGTGTGTTTGCTGGAGGCATTATTCCAGGTCACTGTCTGTGTAGTGGTAGTGGAAATGGTATTAGAAACATCAGTAGTTGTAGTTGAAGTAGTTGATGTCGTAGTAGCGGATGCAGAAGTTGAAGTAGTGGATGCAGACGTTGAAGTAGTTGATGTCGTAGTAGTTGATCCAGTTGGGCAGTTCAGTGACACATCTGAAGGTATGTTGGCTCCACAGACGACGGTAACATTTTTCCCTGTATCCGCTACAAATTTAGAGTTCAAGACATTGTGACAATACCTGGGATCATGTACAATATTCAGCCCTCATGCAGTAACCACGTACGTGTATATGTGCGCACCAACTGTTATTGATAAGGGTATTATTTCCTGTGATAAAAAAGCCCATGGTGGTTTTCGTTAATACTTTAGCATTCGATCGAGTTAAATGATATTCGGTCTCCAGGCTTAGATTCATAGTGGAAGAAGACGTGATACAAGTCCAACACATGACCTGTTTTAATCAATCTGACTTTATACAACATTGAGAAAAACTGAATAATCTGACAGCTGATAACAAACCATAAAATCGTCCTGTATATTGATATATGGTGTTTGAGGATTCAGAATACATGCTTTACGGGGGAAACGCTTCATTTACCAAATATATTCCTCACTCATAATGACTAGAAACACCCCACAAGTATTTTGCAACTGATGTGATAATTATTCATGGATTTGACGCATAAGTATCAGAAGAAACATTTTTACAGCAGTGTACACTTAATATTAATGAAATTTAACATTTTGAGCATATATCTTTCAAACAGTAAAGGTGTTTATCACTAATTTGCCGCTTACCTTTCGCCCGCAACCACAGAAACTCTTTTTCTTGACGTCCAGGATCGACTGTCATAAGTATTGACATGTTAACATAGTTCGACTTGCTCTCAAACATTGCGCTGGAACAGTTTCTTGATGCAGGTGGGTTCTTACAGTCCAACCTGGTTGACACATCCCCATCAGTGAAGTCCACACTGCAGGCGGCAGACACAACTCGGGTTGCAGCAAGTTGTATTATGACATGGGAGTCACACCCATGAGAGTATGCTAGACAGTTAGCATGGGCCTCCCCGTCATGTTGGTCGTTGTACAGGTACACCTCCTGCCCTGTGTGTGTAGAATCATGTTGGATGTGCAGCACCGTGTCCTCTGAAAAGGATGACCTAGTCATTAAAGTTCGGTACACTTCTAACACGACCGTCGTGAACTAGTATTCCTTGTAAATGGGTATTCAAAGCAATATCCATTGTCCGCATGATTTAAAAAAACACATCAAAGATAACAAGCGTATAGTTGACAAAGTCATCTATATCCCCCGCCCATTTTAACACGTTGTGGTCCCAAACCAGGTAACTGACCCAACATTTCTCTTAGCCCATATCAAAATAGCTGCAATGGAAATTCTAAAATAAACATTTCTAAAACTCCTTAATATCAAATGGCACTTGTTCAGTACGCGCTTTATATATAGACATGCAATGTTTAGCAAGGGAATATTTAACAGTTTATTTATTATACTACTTAAGTAAACCAATCCTATATTAAAACTTAAATCCAACTTTTGCCATGGAAAGGTGTATTTTTATTTATAAAATTCCTAAATAGCAAAAGGCACCAGTTCAGTATGTGCCTAGTAGACATGCAAAATTTTGTAAGAAAGTATTTAATGGTTTCTGAGTTATGCTCCGGAAACGAACACCACCCTTATAGAACCTGTCCAACTTGTTGCCATGGAAACGTAGAATTTTTTTTTTTATAAAACTCCTAAATAGCAAAAGGCACCAGTTCAGTATGTGTCTGGTAAACATGCAAAGTTTTGTAAGAAATTATTTAACGGTTTTTGAGTTACGCTCCGGAAACGAACAGTACCCTTATAGAACCTAAGTCCAACTTGTTGCCATGGAAACGTAAAAAATAATTCCTAAATAGCAAAAGGCACCAGTTCAGCATAAGAATGATAGACATGCAAAGTTTCGTAGAGAAATATTTAACGGTTTCTGAGTTATGCTCCGGAAACGATTCGGGACGCACGCACGCACGCACGCACGCACACGCGCACGCACACACACACACACACACGCACGCACGCACACACACACACACACACACACGCACACACGCATGCACACACGCACGCACACACGCACACACACGGACCGTACCCATTTCTATATCCCCCGCCAACTTCGTTGGGGCGGGGGATAAAAAGGAATGGATGACGTTTCTTACACAATGTAATATATGGAATAATAAATTTAATTTCCGCTTCCCTTTCAAGCCCGAGTGAGTGAGTTTAACGCAGCTTTTAACGGTATTTCAGTAAAATCACGGCGAGTCAGCTTAGTCAGCTAAGTCAGTGCAAATGACATACGCGAAGCAGCTGATTAGATATAGACATAGCACAAGTCGCAGTGTGGAGTGGACAGCGAGCGAGCACACGACTACCTCATAAAACACAAAGTACTAAATAAAAATCGCTTTTGCTTGTGACGGTCAGAAATCAAATATACATCAGTCGGAACTGAACAATTCAGAAAGAGGCTCCCTAAAACTCTCAGCATTCCGTGTAAATGATAAAAAATAAAATCCGGAGCTTCACTGATGTCCGTAACCTCGCGAGTTCACTTTTCGATCACCAAACAGTGGAGATAGGATCGTTGTTGTTGTTATTTTATAGGGATTGATGACATGGTCGCCTTCAATTATTTGTCAATATTAGCACGTATTCACTTCAACGGGGAGTTAGTTAATACCAAAGGGACAAGTTTGACAAGTTTTATGACAAGTTTATCATATTTGTATTTTAGGCCACATGGCCCATAGTGCTTCATATACAAACATGTACACAGCGCGCTGATATATGTTAAGTGCGCTGAACAATAAGGTGCCTATCTGGGTATGTTTCTTTTTAGATATATAGATACACTTTTAATAACTGCAGGGTTCGCTGATGACAGAAGCTTGGATTATTTATCAATGAAAGGATTAGTATAATTATAGGGCGGCAAAATACCAAACAATATGATTCAGTTAACAAGGTACTAACTCGTCCGGAAATATTCGGTTGTCAATAAATGTTTGTAGATCTGTTTAGACTTTCTCTGAGTTTCAAGACATTATGAAATAAAATGTTTAAAAGCATTAACATGTGAAAATGTGTGGAATTCGAAAATATATCATAATAATTATGTTTAAAGATAAAGTAATACAAGTTTCTAATCGGACGTTAATCGATCGTTGGGACGTTTCTTTGCTGAAAACCGTTGGGCCGACTTTGTTTCATTCACATCTTACATGGTTACATTTACAGCGCCTAAGGAGATATAAATAGCCATGCCTCCATCTCCTTCAAAGTAGCCGTGAAATGGATAAACCACTTTTTGAAAGACTTGTGGTAGTTGTTTGAGGTTGCAAATTAACAATCTGCATTATGACTGGCCACAAACAGCTCTATCCTGAAATAAGTGACGTGTGAAAGATTTAGGCTTGAATATAGCCCATGAACTTGCAGCAATGAAAGAATTGGCAACAGATAGACAATAAGACTTCCGCCTGGTTGCTGTGTACTGAACGACAAGGTGGGGGATTTGCCTCTGTCAGTATTAGCTCCCCAGCAACCTGAGCTGGTCGTGAGAGGCAGCTTGTCTTGCTCGGTGACCTGATTGATTGTGTGCCATCTACTCCGACGGCGTGGATCGTTGATCACAAATTCGATCACTGCACGGTCTGTTCCAGACTCGATTATTTACAGGCCGCCATCATATAGCTGACATATTGCTGAGTGCAGCGTAAAACAACAAACGAACAAACACCACGTACATGTACAATAGGTTCAAACGACTGACTACGTCACATGCTATACGGGCTTTCATAACATGCGGGTAAAGCTCATAAGAAGTCCTGAACACAGTCGGCGTTGGGCTGTGCGTTTCCTTATTTCCTGTCTATATGGTAAATGACATATATACGTAGTTGAAACATTAATTTACAATGGACACTACTCACTGTGCACACATTCAAACTTGAATGTTACGTAGTCTTCACCAGCAGTGTGCTGCACCCAAGACAACTGACATTTTGTAGTGGCCGTGCACATGTTCACAAAGTTCAGGTAGTAGTGATCCGGGAGTTGGTTCTTCATAGCAGGGAGGCAGTAATCTCTCAAGTTATCATTCTCGCGCTGTTGACAGCAACGTCTGATTTCCTCTACTCCCTTCTGTCTTAAGCTGGTCCCAGTTATTTCACTGTGACATGTGACGTCAGAGGACACCCCGAGTGTAAACATGGTAGGCAGAAGCATCTCTGTAGCGGCACACGGAGGATCCACTATTAGTGGGAAGTCGTAACATGCAGTCTTGTGTCTCAGGCAAGAGACAGCTGGACATAGAACTGTGAATACAAATTGATTGAGACTAAAGTGTGAGTGAATTAAAACTTAACGTCACATTGACAATATTTCAGCCATACAGTGACGAGAGAAAGATTGAGTCTGAAGACTAGTTTAAACTGGTATTTACGGTAGTAGGTCGTTTGGCACATCCATCCATCGTCAACTCAGTGCCTGCTCATTAAATTGGCATTTACGGTAGTGGGTCGTTACCTACAATAAGAGATCTAGACAACCGAATAACGTTTGCTACACCCATACCTCGTCAACTCACTGTGCCTAGCCACACGAAGCAAAAACTGCACATACACTTTATGTTTATCGTTTTACTTATGTTTATCCCAATTGAGAAAACGCAAACTTGGTACATTCATAGAATTATGAGTAGTTTGGTTGCAATTTCCATAACTTGTACCACAGCATAATTCATTCACAGAAATGTTACTTGCAATTCGAAATTGCTGACTGTAACATTCACTCACTTGTTATTGGCTATACCGTGACACTCATTGCATCAGTGCCTGCTAAAACAAATTAACTTTGCAGTGGAAAGGCCAAGGAAGATGATCTTGGGATTCAAGTCCCAGACCAACAGGTAAGGGACACTACGGCAAGGTGCGGTGTCACCCCTGCCCCACCCCCTCGCAGACATAGAGTTAACAAGCATGCTCTTCATGTCAATAATGGTATCGTTTGGTGTATATCAACCTGTTTCTGAATGAGTGGGTGAATGTTTGTTGAACGCCGCAATCAGAAATATTCCAGCTTTCCCCCGGCGGCCTGTAAATAATTGAGTGGCTGAGATTATAAGCTACATCTCGGGGTACGATGACACACAAACAACCAAACCACCAATCCTCACCACCGTTACATCTCCGTCGCCTCTTACAGCACACAGTGAGTCCTAGGGTCTTATTCTAACCCAGGTCCCCACGAGGCGTGTACATCCTGACTAATGTAATAATCAAATGTTTTAGATAGTTTATTTAGTATATGCAGGGGATCTTAATAAATATCGATTTTACGAATTTCAAATAACTATCTGATATCAACTTTCAATTGATTTTCCATTATGGTATTCCATTTTTTTTGAATATCCATAATTATAGTGGGAAAGTCACCACGTCTTTCGAGTTGTTTTTAACACAGTATCGACATCTTCTAACCTAAATATATATAGTTCGAGCCAAATACGGAATTATGCTTGTAAATGAATCGCATCTTGAATATATATCTCAATAATCATGTAAGTACAGAACTGGATGAGAGCTCCTATCGAAAACATGAAAAACTAAAATTGTTGTGATTTATCAGCTGCCAGTCTCTGTTAAGTCAGAACATAGCTAAGGGCATTGTCCGGTGACCCTAGCTCCCATGAGATCAAGGTGTATGTATGTCAGCCGTGCAGAAACCAAAGTCACAGTCGATTTCTGTCAGGAATCAATGTCCGGAGAAGGCTAGTGCAGTTGCTTGCTATTTGGGAGATACACATACCATGCAGTCCCATGTTACCTGTAGATTAGAAGGTGCTACTGTATTTGGATCCGAACGTACATTCATCCTGACAAAAAGGATTGACTTGGCTTGGGTCGACAATGCCCTGACATGGCTGTCGATTTGAATTAAGTAAACACCGACACTAATCTTAAAATATAGTATGGAGCTGTATTTGCTACTCAAACACGTTTCTTTGTACAGCAATTTACTTCACTCGCGTCATCTAATGCACTTCACAGATTAATACCACAACGTAATGGAAGCTTTTTTTTATGAACATGTTGCCTTTCTTACCACAACATTTATCAAAATGGATAAATCTCACATCTAACCATGGTTGACAAATGTAAAGCGTCGACTTGTCCCATTTGCATTTTGGGCCATATGCCTTACAACTTTACAGGAAGTTGCTTAAAATATCATCATGTTTACCAGTTTGAAAAATGTCGAACAGGATAATACCACCAACATTTACAACAGCTCCAGATATTTGAGAAGAGTTTCCTTCTGCAGACATCTCTGATTCTTATACAGGTAAATGGCATCCATAAAGGACATAGAAGATGCATTTTGCAAACTCTGTTATTTACCATCTATTGCATTGTATAATTGTATCTCCAAATGCCAACCATTTCCTACCAAAAATTACTTTATATCGCAGAAATTCCAACTGGGCAAGCCTTTATATCATTTGGTTTTTAATATCTTCCTGTGTTTAATATCCAGTGTTCTATCTACAAGTTCAATCTACATTTAGCTATACATAAGACTGTAATCTTACTGAGGATGAACGTGATAAATGTGACATTTTGATAAACTCCGTCAACCAATCATCTCAACGTTTAGAGCACTGAATTTGTACACAATGGATTTCATGATTCCTTGATAAACATTACCACAAGATACCTTGAAGCGTAATCCATGTCAGCAGAAAGAGGGATCCTCGCGTCTTCCTCCACATGTTGGGGTGGTCTAGGTCCGGAGAAACATTCATTCAGATGCTCGGTATCAGGGTCTATACGATCATAAAAACATCGATTTTGATAACCACAAATACTGAGAGTGACAATGCTTAAGTTTTTAATTTAGTTGCATGATACACTTGCTCGGTTCTGTAGAATACACAAGTAAATGGAATATAATAATTATAATCTCAGCTTCGTTCCAGATTTTCAATAGCTGCTGGAATTATGTTTAATCCAAATTTTAAAACGTATATCGGGATTTCACATAATATTATGTGACACATGTGGGTCTAGAATACACATGAACACTCCGAAAAGTCACAGGAGTCAAATGATGATGAATATGCAAAACTATTTTCCTTTAAACAAGTAAAGAGCAAAATTGCTGTGAAAACGGATGGATGGACCCCTAAAACTCAGTCATGACCCCATATCGCAAAACATAAAACAAACATATTCACTGACGCATACATGTACTATTTAGGTATAGTCCGTTTGCTGCAAAATCGTACCGATGAAATGCAAAATAAATATAAATCCGAAAGCAACAAGTCATCAATGATGGCATGTAATTTTCGTTGTTTTCAATGACTTCGTGGAATGGGGTCGTGGAACAGAGGGGTAGTCTCAAAACGTCTATTCTGAAATATTTTCATTGTCACTATCAACTGAAATAATAATGTGACCGACAGTTGCATGATCTAAGCCATCTCTTTTACATTATGAAACTTGAATTCCGGCCCCGACTTTGTCGGACTTGCAATAATCATAAACGTCCATACCAAGGTTTTAAGATCACCTGTTAATTTCATCACGTACCGCACTGGAATGAAAAATTGAGCTCAGTTCTGTTTATTTTATTATTTTTATTTGGAATCAGCTGAATAGCAATACCAAGAGCATCACGAACATTGCTTTAAGAATAGTTTACAGATTCTCATTGTATATTCCGGTTAATAACTGCTACATAAAGATACGCTCATAATGAAGACTTTTCATTTGAATTGGTCATGTTGTAGAAAAGACTTAAGAAGGTTAACCTGACACGCGCGAATTTCACGTGCGAATGTAAGGCTGTTCAGTTTATAGCGCAGACCCCCTTGTAACAACAGACATTAAAACACCAACACTTACATGAGAGTTTGTTAAACAACATTTGCTACCCTTCATGGCAATGTCTGAAATTATGGTCACTGGTTGGTGTGGACAAATAAATAACGTTCATGCCATTTACGGCGAAGTGTTGCTGTCGGATTTATATCTGTTTTGCAGTAAATGGACTGTAAGTATGTATCCCATGTTATTCGCAAGGAATCTGGTAGATGGAAGCCACCTTATCCGGGGAGTGTTCTGAGCCCCACACAGAAAGACTTCACCAACAGATATCAAAATGTATTTTTTCAACTGAATCCTCTTCGGGAATGGATACACTTTTGCCAGCGATGCTGGAAGTCCTTCTCTTGGTTGTCCAAAGAGTTCTCCGCCGCTGCTATGACGTCATCATTCGATTTGAAATGGGTTCCGGCGAGACTCTCGAATGTTTGGCAAGAGATGGAAGGCTGACGGAGCCAGACCAGGAGAATAATGTCAGTGCTGAAAGAATCCAAAGACACATCCGTGGTTATGGCAATGGCTGTTTTTCCACATTGCAAAATGTCTGTTATAACGGAATGGACTGTCTGTCTGTCTGTCTGTCTGTCTCTCTCTCTCTCTCTCTCTCTCAGCATCATGATGCTTTGGAACCCAACGAATTAATTCATTCTTCATTGCAAAAATCTCTACGATAACGGAATCGACATGATGCTTAGACATTCGCCGGTCGGTTCTCTGGGTCGTTTCTTGTGTTGGAAATGTGACATGAAAAGGTCTTCTTCAAGGCTCTCCCAGCCACGTTTACATTCTGCTGCCCACCTCTTTACTTCCCCAGTGTTGTTCTAATTTCTTCAAGGATGGCTTTTGGTGTTAAGCCCTTTCTCTGAAAATACTTAAACCACTGTACGTTGCTCGAGTTTGCCCATTTTTGATAGGTCACAGGACCCTCCTTATTTTACCCACTAGTCACATTACACTATTAGGGTAAATTGTGAATATACCGCTATGGTATCATGCTAAGTACATTCACTCTTTCTATGGCTCAGAACTTATCAATCAAACCTTATAAGTTTAGTTTCTGATGTTTATTCGCCAGGAATTCAGCCAATGGAAACCACCCTTTTGGGACCTGTACATAAAACCCTGTGAAGGTGTATCTGAGGGTTAACATAGACCAAAGACGGCTCCAAATACATGTCAATGTCCGACGTACCTCACTACCGACACCCTGCAGCACTTGGTAGTTCCCGTTGTAATCATTGTTTTTGCAGTGTCATCTTAATGTAGCAACCTGTCCTACCTCTGACTGTATTGCCTGATGATCCAACTACATCCAACTTCACATTGAATAGCTGACACACAAACAAATCCGTGCAAGGGACGTGATGACTTCCTTGTTATAAGCGCAGACGCAGCGTTAGACAGGTATGTGTTATCTTATCAGCAGTT